GCTATATAATCGTCTGAAGCTTATAAACACGGTCAATTTGTCAAAAGTGAAGCACAAACTTTATCATGATCTAAATAAATAATTTATTTATTAAGTATCTAAGTGTTAAACATATTTAAAAAACAATAAGTTACAAAATTATTTAATTAAATATTAGTTGTAAATAGCTATTTTTAAAGCCCTTGTATAAATTAAACACAATGAAATTTCAAATTACTATTAAACTATTCACATTATACTTTTAATAAATTAACAGTACAATTAATATAACATGTTAACAGTTAATACAATTAGTTAAAAACAAAAATAATCAAATGCCCATGTAACTTGGGAAGTGATGGGAACTACAATTCAAAGTAATGTCATCTAGGATCATTTGGCAACATTATAGCGCCTTTAAGCGTAAGTTGTCATATGGTTGCCATAGCAACACAACTTACACACCGTGTTATTGTTTATTAAAAAGTGACACAACAATCATTAAACAATGTAACGTTTAAACAAATGCTATTCAGAATTCACTATACACTCCATGTGTTTCTACATCATATCTAATTAATATATTTAATCGTGCTCATTTAATTAACTAATCATGGTCACCAAATACACACACGTTAAATGTGCATGATAGTTTTGGCAAAGCGTGCGCATAACGTTATAAAACAGGTAAAATAACTTATGAAAATAATGTATCTAGTTCATATTAAAAATTACATAATTATTAAAACATGTCTTTCATAACTAGAGTTAATGACTGAATGATATGTCGAGTCCGGGGTTGGAGTCGTTCCCCGTGTGTCGCGCTATACCGGCAAACATCGGGCTAACCGTCGCATCGCTGCACGTATTTGACGACATCTACGGCCAGAACGCGTTGCTTATCACCGACGATGACTGCGTCTACGGACTGGGGGTCAACACATACGGCTCGCTCGGACTCGGGCACACCCGACCCGTACCTGAAGTCACACTAATACCAGAACTATGCCAGAAAAACATCCAACAATTCACCAACGGTTTCAACTTTGTGTTAGCCCTGACGGGAACGGGCGGTCCGGGAGTCACACCACACGAGCACTGGGTCTACAGCTGGGGCTGTAATAGCGACGGCCAGTTGGGTCGGGGCGGGGAACCGCCGCCCGACTATAACCGGTGCCTCAAACCCGCCCTAATCGGTGCCCTACAACACAAGAGTGTCGCGCAAATCGCGTGCGGCTATTATCACGCGCTGGCGCTCACCAGCGATGGCCAGGTGTACGGCTGGGGCGATAACCTGCGCTGTCAGGTGGGCGTCTACGAGCACCTGAACACTATAAGCACACCCATACGCGTGCGGTTTGTTGGCGACCCCCCGATAGGGTCAGTGCGCGCACACTATTACCACTCGTTCGCTGTGACACCGGTGGCGGTCCCGGCGGACGGGAACGGGGGTCGAGTGTTCACTTGGGGTAACAACTATTGCGGCCAATTGGGCCACCAGACGACCGACATATACCCCGCGCGACCCGTTCCCGGACTCGCAGACATCGTTACCGTTTGTCCCGATGCGGAGCGCACGTGGTTTCTGGCCCGAGACGGCTCCGTATACTTGTGCGGCAAATATCGGGTCAAATCTCGGGGCTATTTCTCGGCCAAAATGCCGCCCATCGCCCAAAAACTGCCCAAACTGTCGGCTCTGGTCCGCCCTAACGGCTACCATAAGCCGGTGCCGTATGTGTTGGGTCGGGCGCTGAGCACCGGCAAAGTGGTCATCATTACCGACTCGTTAGAGACTATTGACACCAATTATACCTCGTTTGAAGTGTTTTACGCCAATGAATGCCAATTGACTTTCAATACAATACGTGTGAATCAATCGGTGATATCTCAGTGTTTGTGAATAACTGTGTATTTTGATAGCCTATTATGTCATTTCATATTTATCATGTTTATTGTGTAATTTTCTAAAGTTTTTTTTAAATATGTTTAACACTTAGATACTTAATAAATAAATTATTTATTTAGATCATGATAAAGTTTGTGCTTCACTTTTGACAAATTGACCGTGTTTATAAGCTTCAGACGATTATATAGCAAGGTTATTTGTGTTTGTGTTATTGACTCTAACGTAAAGTTAGAATTATTATCAAATGCAACAAGTTTTAAAAGTTTTCAATAATTATTATGTAATAAGTTTGAGTAGTAATTAAAATCGTGAACACTATATGACACTATTGTCGAGTGTTTTATATATGGTAATTGTTTGATTCATAAGAACTAGGCTAATACATATTTATGCTCATTCGCTTTACAAAATATAATTTACACAATTATTTCTAATAGGTATTACAAATACACTAGGTGGGTTATACTAAAACAGCATTTTAACAATTTTGAATTGTAATTATTTGGAGGTTATATTTTTGATAAGATACAGTGTTTGTGTTGAATCATGATGATAATTTTAAATATATCACAAAATACTTATTTAACCAACTTTAATATAATGTTTTAGTATATATTACATTCTCATAATAACTAGATTTTTTGCCAAGAGTTTCGTATTGTATGTTATGTCTTATAACATGGCTTTATTACATCCCTTTTGCTTAACATTAATCGCGTGTTTAATAGTGTGTTGTGTTTGCGATGGGAATAGTATTGATGTGAACACGAGTTCGGGTTCAGTGAGGGGTCAGACACTCCATGTCTTGAATCGCTCTATACATCAATTCTTGAATATACCCTACGCTGAGCCCCCTTTAGGCCCCCTTAGGTTCGCACCCCCGGAGCCTCTAAGAGCACCAAAAAAGGTATTTATAAAATAACTTTTTCAAATTAATAACTATTAGGTATTAATGAACCGATAAATAGAGTAAATTTATAATAAATAATGTATTAAATACAACGTTATTCATAGGATGTGATAGACGGGACAGTTCCGGGAAACTCATGCATTCAGGCGCCAATGAAAAACCCGGAGCTCATACACTTGGCGGGCAAACTGACCACCAGTGAAGACTGTTTAACATTAAACGTATGGACACCGATGAATACTGTGGACAAAGAATCACCGGTGGATCAGTTAAAGCCAATAATGTTTTGGATCTTCGGCGGGGCATTCAGTGTAGGCTCAATATATAGACCGATATATAACGGCAGTGTTTTGGCCACACATGATGTGGTGATTGTCACTGCGAACTACCGGTTGGGACAGTTGGGCTTTCTATACGGGGATCGGGAGGACGCGCCCGGAAATGTGGGCTTTTATGACCAGTTATTGGCTCTCAAATGGGTAAAAATTGATCACATTTTAAAATAAAAATTACTATTTTATAATGAAGTAATATATGAATTAATGGCATATAATAATAGGTTAGAGAAAATGCTGAACAGTTCGGCGGAGATAGGGATCGGATCACAATATTGGGTGAGAGCGCCGGGAGTTGGTCGGTGTCCGCACACATACTCTCCCCGCTATCCAAAGGTCTATTCAAGAGGGCTATTATGCAAAGCGGGTCTGTTTTGATGCGAAATGAGCGGCCGTTTATGGGCACAGTTGACGCTCTGGCAAAAGCCAAACAAACCGCACGTAATCTTCAGTGCAATCCATACGACTATAAATGGTTGGACTGTTTGCGCGCCATTGAAAACCCAGAGCTATTCCTGGAGCCGGTGTCAGAGAGGGCCGCCTTTACGGTCACCTTTCCTATTATGGGCACACAATTCCTCCCAATCACAGCCCAAAAAGCATTTAAACGTCAAGAGTTTGCGCAAGGTCAATTATGCATTTTTAATATTGACCAGTGATTAACTGTACCTATTATTGCGCCAGATATTGAAAATATAAATATTTAACTTGATTTACATATTTCTTAATATAACTTATATCTATTACTGTACCAGATATTGAACTGTTAGCCGGCGTTACCACCGACGAGGGTTTGCCACTAGCGGCGGGACATTTCCCGGAAATGCGGGACAACTTTGGAGAACAGGAGTTTGGGAAAGCGTTGGCCAAACTAAACGCCATGACCGGCAATAGCCTGGATGTGACCCAATTGTCCGCACATTACCTGAACGGTACCGAAACGCACGGCAATTATGTGCGCGCTTTCGGCCAACTCTATGGCGATTGGATGATGACATGTCCCACCTATGCGTTTGCCAAAGGGTTAGCCACCAGTAGTGGTGACCACAATAGTGTCCACTTTTATCGGTTTAACTACGAAACTGGTTATACGAGCGGTAAGTTTTGCGGGTCAACGGCGGGAACGGTATGTCACGGGGCGGACGTACCGCTCGTTTTTGGTACCCCTTTATTAATGCAGCGATTATTTACGGAAACTGAATATGACTTCAGTATAGATGTGATGAAAATTTGGACCGATTTCGCTAAACATGGGTACGAAAGTATATTTTATTTTACCACATTTAATTTATCTATATTTTATTTTAAATTTGTTTTATACAAAACTAATAGCAAAGCACATGATGTTTGGCCACAAATGGTGGACAAGTCTGTGATTCGAGTGAAAGACTTGAATCCCAACGATATGTCACTTATTCTCGACAATCCATACGAGAGTACATGTGATGGCATTTGGAAACACTATTTCTGATCAGTAATTAATTAATTTTAATCAAATTTATACTGTTTATTATGTAATGTTTTAATTTTTTTGTATGTTTACTGCTAAAATATTTAAGAAATAAATTATTTATTTTGATCGTAATGGATTCACTTTTAATCGAATAATTCAACAATTATTGTTTTAAGCTTCAGCAAATTATTTAGCAAGTTATTTGGTTTGGGTTATAGCAAAGACTTAAATCCATACATATTACAAGCAATACCTGTTATGCTCACCCGACAAAAAGTTGCTATATAAACATGAATATTTATGATCATTCGCTTTAAAAAATATAATTTACATTAATAATTATAATAGATACTAGATGTTATGTAATACACAATATAAGCGTTTTGAAGGTTTGTAATGTAATTATTTCGAGGTTATATTTTCGGATGGAAACAGGTTTTACGTTAAATCATGATGATAATTTTATATTTATTAATTAATATACAATGATAATATAATGTTGTTATTATATATTTCAATATCGTAGTGTAAGCTATATCTTATAACATGTCTTTTTTACCTCTCCTTTGTTTAACAATAATCGCGGGTTTAATAGTGTGTTGTGTTTGCGATGGGAATAGTATTGATGTGAACACGAGTTCGGGTTCAGTGAGGGGTCAGACACTCCATGTCTTGAATCGCTCTATACATCAATTCTTGAATATACCCTACGCTGAGCCACCATTAGGCCCACTCAGGTTCGCACTCCCGGAGCCTCTAAGAGCACCTAAAAAGGTATTTATAAAATTATTATAATTATAACTTTAATATTTATAAATAAATAAAAATATAAATAAATATTTATAGAATTACTTTTTTAATTAATAACAATTTTCAAAGTATTTTATGCTAAACTTTACGCTAAAACTATTTGGGGTTTATATACAGATAAATATGGTAAATAAATAGTGCATAAAATATATTATTACTAGGATGTGATAGACGGGACAGTTCCGGGAAACTCGTGCATTCAGGTGCCAATGAAAGACCCGGAGCTCAAACACTTGGCGGGCAAACTGACCACCAGTGAAGACTGTTTGACATTAAACGTATGGACACCGATGAGTAGTGTGGACAAAGAGTCACCGGTGGATCAGTTAAAGCCAATAATGTTTTGGATATATGGCGGAGCATTCAGTGTAGGCTCAATATATCAGCCGATATATAACGGCAGTGTTTTGGCCACACATGATGTGGTGATTGTCACTGCGAACTACCGGTTGGGACAGTTGGGCTTTCTATACGGGGATCGGGAGGACGCGCCCGGAAATGTGGGCTTTTATGACCAGTTATTGGCTCTTAAATGGGTAAAAATTGATCCCATTATTTAAATAAATGTTAAAATACTGTAAAACTATTATTTTTTAATGAAGTAATATATGAATTAATGGCATATTATCATAGGTTAGAGAAAATGCTGAACAGTTTGGCGGAGATAAGGATCGGATTACCATTTTTGGTGAGAGCGCCGGGAGTTGGTCGGTGTCCGCACACATACTCTCCCCGCTATCCAAAGGCCTATTCAAGAGGGCTATTATGCAAAGCGGAGCGGTTTTGATGCGAAATGAGCGGCCGTTTATGGGCACAGTTGACGCTCTGGCAAAAGCCAAACAAACCGCACGTAATCTACAGTGTAATCCATACGACTATAAATGGTTGGACTGTTTGCGCGCCGTTGAAGACCCGGAGCTATTTCTTGAGCCGGTTCCCGAGGGGTCGGACTTTACGGTCACTTTTCCCGTTATGGGCACACAATTCCTGCCAATAACAGCGCAGAAAGCATTTAAACGTCAAGAGTTTGCGCAAGGTCAGTTATGAATAATTAAAATTTGCCAGTAATTACCATTACTTATTATTGTGTCACATATTGAAGTTCAATAATTGAACTGATAAATTTTTACCTTGATGTATTATAGAATTGACATATTCTTTAACGTATATCTATTACTGTACCAGACATTGAACTGTTAGCTGGCGTTACCACCGACGAGGGTCTGCCACTAGCGGCGGATTTCCCCGAAATGCGGGACAACTTTGGAAAACAAGAGTTTGACAAAGTATTGGCCGCACTGAACGCCATGACCGGCAATAGCCTGGATGTGACCAAATTGTCCGCACATTACCTGAACGGTACCGAAACGCACGGCAATTATGTGCGAGCATTCGGTCAACTCTATGGCGATTATTTGATGACATGTCCCACCTATGCGTTCGCAAAAGGGTTGGCCACCAGTGGTGGTGACAACAATAGTGTCCACTTTTATCGGTTTAACTACGAAACTGGTTATACGAGTGGTAAGTTTTGTGGGTCAACGGTGGGAACGGTATGTCACGGGGCGGACGTACCGCTCGTTTTCGGTACTCCTTTATTAATGGAGCGATTATTTACGGAAACTGAATATGACTTCAGTATAGATGTAATGAAAATGTGGACCGATTTTGCTAAATACGGGTATTTTATTTGCTTTGTAGTTATTTTTACCTTAACACATTTAATTTAGTATTACTTTAATGTTTTATTTCTAATTTGTTTTATACAAAACTAATAGCAAAGCACATGACGTTTGGCCACAAATGGTAGACAAGTCGTCTGTGATTCGAGTGAAAGACTTGAATCCCAACGATATGTCACTTATTCTCGACAATCCATACGAGAGTACATGTGATGGCATTTGGAAACACTATTTTTAAATCAATAATTTGTTAATTCATTAATAAATAATTGGTATTTTTGTAATAAATATTTAATTATAGATTACAATAAGAAATATTAATTAAATTAATATACAGTAATGATATAGATGAAATTGCAAGTTTTGATCAACATTGAATTTATATGAAATTGTTTATTTTGTTAACAAATAAATATGAAGACAAAGTATTAAAGCATTTTCTAAATTTAATCTCATTTAATATAATTAAATTTAATGATTTTCTAGTTACAAAATATTTAATTATTAAATAATATTATAATATTTTCTCAAATAATTCATTCAAATAACAATGTTTGATTTATATATCCTGGTCACATTAATAATAATATGGTTATCATTGGTGATATACAGCACGTGTGGATACATTTACATAGAGGTATTAAATGCAAGACCTATGGCTAACGCACGTGTTAATCAAAACCGTGTGTTAAACGCGTTGTCTTTGCTATCAAACTATCGACAATCAATTCGGGTTAACACAAGTCATACCTCTAGTAATGGAAACGTATTGAATGGCATCGAAATGTTATGTCATTTATATCTGGTTTTCGGACATTTTGCGGTATTTTTAAATTGGTTTCCAATACAAAGTTATTTGCATTTGGTTGTAGACACAAATAGATTAAGGTAATTTAGTCTCTCTCTCTCTCTCTCTCTCTCTCTCTCTGATTTACTTAAAATGTTAAACATGGTTATTTTTATTACAGTAGGCTTATTATAAATGTAAACCGAATATTTATCGGAAGCCTATTTATGTTGAATGGGTTTTCATCGGGTAAATGGTTTCAACGCCAAAACTACAACAATAGCTACAAAATGTTTACAAAAATTATATTAATTTATTATTTCGACCGTATTTTGCGCATTATTCCTATGTATTATCTGTCGCTGTATATCTATGTAATATACGAGACTTATTTGAGCCAGGTCCCATTTTATAACCCATATATGGCTAATATATGTCAAAATACGTGGTTGAATCACGTGTTATTTATAGCCAATACAGGACCTGGAGTTAAAATGGCAAGTTAAATTAATTTTTGATTATGTAACATTTATTTATAATTACATATAGAATATTGTAAAACTTTTTAATTTGTATATGATAGATTTTGTTTATTTTGTTGTTTTGTTTGAAAGTGTATGGAGCTTTCATGGACAATTTGTGTATTGGTAAAATACATTTTAATAACACCAATAATTGTATATTTGATGTGCCGGTAATCTATTTAACAATATTTTAATTAATATTATTAATTATTATCAATGAATAATTTTATTATTTGATTCAACTGTACAGAAGCGTCAAAATTGGCATACTGGCCACTTTACTCGGCAGTATTATGTGTCTAATCACTACAGCTTATGTTATATATGCACACAACGCTGGACTGCGCATGGACAATTTGTAAATTATTAATCAAACAGTTAAATTAATTAATAAAAATATCACGTAAATAAACAGGACCGGATCAATAATCAACCTTGTTAGCATCAAGCCATTTGAGAATGGTGCAAATTATTTATCAGGGCTACTACTGGGCTATTTAGTCTCCGATAAACATTACTGGCAGTCAATACGTTCGTGGGATTTGTGGCCAAAACTGGTGACATATTCAACAGTGGTTACGGCCGTGTGGTGTGCGCTATGTCTTAGCT